TCCCACCGGCTGGCAGACGGAGGCCGAGCTGCTGTTGCCCCTGCCGAGGCCGCAGATCGCAGAGGCGGAGGAGAAGCCCCGTCTTCCCAGGAGAGAGCTGGAGGTGTAACACTGTCGACTCATGGTGGCTGGGGGAGACGGGAGGTGAAGCGGTAACGGCAGAGCAGAAGAGCGAGAGAGGAGCAGGGAGTGAAAGAAGGAGATCTCCTTTAGCTTCTCTGAGGCAGAGCCCTTCTCTTTATATACATTTCAGGAGGTGCCTGAGATGCAAAAATTTAATTTATCCACTGGGTTTGGCCTGCCTGGCAGCAAGGAATGGCTTCCAACATTTTAAACCCACAGCAAACACTTCTATCTCATATGAAATAATGTGGAAATTAAAATAAACTGCTTTGCTTGCAAGCTTCAGTTTCAGGACTTATATTTTACTTAATTAATCTGCTTCCTTATTGTGTAATTATAGTTTAGCAAAATAATTCAAGGGGTTTTTATTCATGACTTGTTTACGGTTTGGTTTCACCACAGCATTTAATTATGTTTCAGGACCTCCTGCAAAAATGTCGTGGCGATGCCGCCTCTTCCAGGGTCCCTCGCCAACTCAGGGCTGGCTCTTGAGCAATGACCAGTGGCGATAGGAGCGAAGGAAGGCGTATCCATCAAAGCACAGCACCGACGTTGTCGGGACCGTTCCCGTAAGCATGCATTTCTTCCTCTCGCGGGTACGGCTATGGCTCTCATAGGCGACTCAGTTGCGGCCGTGTTTGCCGGCTGGGGTGCTGATAAGCGGAGCAGGTTGGGGTTGGTGGTTTCCGTATCAATGGAGGATGAACCGAGCGAGATGGTGCCGAGGATAAATTTGGTCATGGGGCGGATGCTCTGGCAAATTGGGGGGTTCATGCACGTGAAGTCAGGGCACTGGTCCAGCTGGGCTTCGTGTGCCCCTTAGAATAGATGGGATTGAAGATAAGGTATTTCTGGGAAACGCTTCGCTGCGGATGGCGATTTATTGCCGAGTTATGTGCCTAGGGAAGGTGATAATTGTGTTTAGTATCTGGGTGTGATGTGACCGGCGCACATGGCAAAGTCACGCAAGCGATAGCCGGAGATGCAACAAAGAAGTGAAGCGAAGTGTTACAAACAGGTTGAGAAATGTTAGCCGGAGTGAACTTTTTTTTACTTGTATTTCTGTGACACACCTACTTGGCATTAAAATATTCTAGTAATATCTGTTAATGAGAAGGTACCATACCGTCTTAATTAAAATTCTTTAAAAGTTTTTTGAATTTGCTTGGAAACAAATAAAGTTCCTTTTTTGCCTTAACAAAGGAGTCTAATCACAGAATCACAAGTGGTTGCATAGCTTGCCCTAAGAAGTCTTTGCATCTTGTGCTGGGGCAAAATTAACTGGTTCTGGGAGGACTCCTCATCAATGCTATTGTAAACTTGAAATAGGTTGTCCTGAATTAAAAATAATGCAAAGGAATTAGGATGACTTAGAATATTTGTGGAGTCTCTTCAGGTAAAGATCTTACAATTTATTTTTTTTTTAATAGATCTCATAATGGGTTGAAATGAACTATAAAATACTATATGCAATTATAATCATGCAGTAGTTCTGTTGTAGCTGCAATGGTCCCGGTGTATTAGGACGCACGTCTTGCAATGAGATGAACTTTCATTTGTGGACAAAGCAGACGAGCTTTTGGGCACCGAGTCCATCATGTCACTCTGCCCGAGGTAATCCAAGCAGCGGGAGCTCTTGCTAGTAAGTGAAAAGGGAAAATATTTTGGAAATTTATTTGATTTTGTGCTGAAGTGTTGGTGCGAGCATTGTAGAGGACAGTTGGGTGTCTGGTCTGAAGCCACACCTGGAGCACTGCCTGGGAACGAGGCATTTATGGATGTGCTGAAGCATCACTTAGCCTTTAGGTAGGTCCATACAACGTGACTTTCATGAACTCTTCTAGATGGGCATAACAATGGGCAAGCTGAAAACCAGGGCGAAGCCAGGCTGTCAAATCACTGGCACAAGTGGCTGTAATCCTGCTTTCTGCGTGCCTCAGCCCTGCTCGCTGAGACGAGGCATCGGGGACGGTGACCAGGAGCAGCCACTGCCCCCAGCTCTGCTGCCCGACCGGAGCACAGAGAGAGACTCCAGCTCCTTTTCAGGACAGGAAAGACACGGCCCTTCATCCTTGAGGGTAGCCACCTGCTGGTTTTTCCAGCTGTGAGGAATGCGGATCTGGTTCAGTTCAGGTCCCTGCTATCCTCCATATCTCTGCTCAGCCACCCACTGCAGCGTGCCGGGAGCCGCACGGGTGATACACGCACCATGTGAGGGCTGGAGACCCTCCGAGCCCGCGGTCTTGTAGGAAAGCAGGGAAAAATGCCTCTCATGGGACAACCATCCATGTTCCTCCATCGGCTGCGAGCTTTGAGGTCCCTTCTTAAGTACGACGTGCTGCCAGGCTGTTTCCCCACGGATCGAAAGCAACAAACCTGCGCTTCAACCTCGGGCTCCTCCTCGCAGCCCTAAGAAGTGGCTTCTCCCAGGTGCCCAGCCTTGCACATCAGAGGGAGATGGTTCAGGGCAGCGCTTGTGGTTTCCATCTGCTGAGCTTTCACAAAGCCGGTTTGCCGACACGTGGTGGAAGCCCTGAGCACCGGTTACATCAGCTTCAGAGGAGCAAGCACTCTGACGTGATTGGGACTTCTGAGGAGAAGGATCGCGATCGCTTTTGTTTCATCGGCCGCGCACATGCACAGCACTGGCTCAGGTCAGATGCAAATGCCTTCTTCGTAGACACCTTCTTCATGTGTCCGTGCTTCGTCTGGGCTGATCGCAGGTCAGATAGTGTTTGAAAAGCTGTAGAAAGGGACCAGCCTTCCTCTTCACAGGGATGAGATGAAACCGCTGTTTCCAGGCTGACGGGATTCAGCAAAGCTTTAAAGCAACAGCTTACACCCAGATTTACTGGGGAAGCCCCTGAGGTCCTTGACCCTAAATATGCCTCAAACTTTGGTGGCTTCCATGAGACTTATGCCTTTGAGATTTACATGTACCCAGCTGCATTAAGGTAAATTAATTCTGCTTAAGCACCATACTAAATTGGGACCTGTTAAGCGATCCGTGCAGATAAGGAGAGCCTAGGGGGTTTTCCAGCCTCCTGTTACGATTCCAGCTGTAACAACCCAGCCATCCAAGTCTGCTTTCTCCCAGTAAGAAAACCGCTTTTGAAGACCCTCTCCTGAGAAAACGGGGTTGGCAGGGCTTGGCCGCGCTCCTGCTCTCCCTCCCTCCCTGCAGGCTTTGCAGTTTTTGTGGCTCCTTGCGAAAGGGACCGCGAAGTCACCATTAAAATGGTTAATGAGGGCCCTGAGACGTCTCCCTCTGGTTTCCTGGGTCCAGCCCTCCAAAGGTAGCTGTTCCTGGTCTCTTAACTGCAGCTTGATTCTGCTCCCACATCAAAGCAGATCGTGGATTTGTGGGGACCGGGATGAAGATGATGGTCTGGGCTCCTTCCATCGCCACCGGGCACCTTGTTTTCCTCCCAGTAGCCTTGCTCCACGGTAGCTGTTCACCCTCAGCCTGGCTTGTCCCTGGCTATTTATACTGCTTTGGGGCAAAAAGATGAACAAGATAATTCCTGAGGTTCCTTCCAGGCCATTCCTGGAGCACCAGTGGTCACTGCTCATATGCACCATCTGCATTTGCAGTGCTGCTAGATAAGACCTTGCCAAAACCTTTACCCTCCTCCTGCAGTCTTTCTGCTGGGCAATAATAAATTATGGGTGACCCGATGTCGGTCACGTCACCAGTATGGGTGAGAAGATGTTGGGCCATCATGGCAGCAAGCGAAGTAGAAGAGAATATCACTCCCAAAAGCGATGTCTCATGGAAGGAACATGGAGAGCTACCTACTCACGCACCCGCGCTGGGTGTCTGCCCTGCCTGCGTCCACCGTAAACGCACACCCTGACAGCAAATCCAGGTGCTTCATTCGGGGCAACTTTGTCATATTCTGGGCAGTTCTTTATTCGTGTGGTGGAAAACCTGGGCGATGGATGCAGAGCTGTGTGCGCCTTGCAGAGAGAGCTCCTGTGACTTCTGGATGTTGACTGCAGTCGGCAGGGTGCCAGCAGCAGCACAAAGCAACCTGTCTGGGTTTGTTTTTTTTTTAAAATCTCCATTTCGATGGTGTTACCAGGTGACCTAAGCTGAGAAACTCTCCCTCATAGTTCTTATTTACCATCTTATTTTGCAAGAGACAAATAGGTTTCGTACCCAACACCGCAGGTGTCCACCCCCTTCCTTTGAAACCTTCCTCTTCTGCACAGGCATTTGTAAGGCACCTCTGCGTCATCTGGCCAACCTTGTGCTAACACCCGGGGCCCGATGGACTCTGAGGGCTCCGAGTAATGGGGTGGAATTGGTATGACAGCATCATGATGAAAACACAACAGCCAGGACTAAGCACTGGGAATTGCCGCTGCAGAGGGAGAGCAACCACGAGCCAAGGGCACAAGGTTTGCCCTGAAAGTGTTTGTTCTGGGGAAAGATGGGCGATCCTTGTGAAAAGCAGCCATGAGAACCACAGCGGGTTTTGAGGCTGGAAATACTGCTGTGCAGTTTCACGGGACGGTTGTCTCTTCTCTTCTATGATACAGACTTTTTTAACCAGAAAGCATGTTCCTTCATGCACTGAGCCAGCCAGGGACTCCAGAGATGCCCTCCAGCAGCGGAGTGAAAGGGGAGAGTGTGGGAGGAGGGAAATTCAACTACTGAATTTCAACTAGTTCCCATCGATAGGTCTATGTCTGTCTGTGCACGTAAATACATATAATAATGACCATAGAAAGTAGCTGTTCAGTGCGTGTGGTTCATAAAGTTAATTTTGCAAACTTATGAACGGGTTTCTTAAAAATAAAAAATG